AGTGAACTTCTTAGGTGTACATGTGGGGAACTTCTTAGTTGTAGATGTGGTGAACTTCCTAGTTGTAGATGTGGTGAACTTCCTAGTTGTAGATGTGGTGAACTTCCTAGTTGTAGATGTAGTGAACTTCTTAGGTGTACATGTGGGGACCTTCCTAGTTGTAGATGTGGGGAACTTCCCAGTTGTAGATATAGTGAACTTCCTAGTTATAGATGTATTGAACTTCCTAGTGGTAGATGTGGTGAACTTCTAGTTGTAGATGTGGTGAAATTCCTAGTTGTAGATGTAGTGAAACATCTACAACTAGGAAGTTCACCACATCTACAACTAGGAAGTTCACCACATCTACAACTAGGAAGCCCACAACTAGGAAGTTCCCCTCATCCACAACAAGAAAGTTCACCACAACCACAGCTAGGAAGTTCATTACATTTACAACTAGGAAGTTCACTACATCAACAACTGGGAAGTACGCCACATCTACAACTAGGAAGTTCACCACATCTACCACTAGGAAGTTCGCTACATCTACAACTAGGAAGTTCACTACATCTACAACTAGGAATTTCATCACATCTACAACTAGGAATTTCACCACATCTACAACTAGGAAGTTCCCCACATCTACAACTAGGAAGTTCACCACATGTACAACAAAGAAGTTCACCAAACCTACAACTAGAAAGTTCACTACATCTACAACTAGAAACTTCACTACATCTACAACTAGGAAGTTCACCACATCTACAACTAGGAAGTGCACCACATCTACAACTAGGAAGTTCACCACATCTACCACTAGGAAGTTCACTACATTTACAACTAGGAAGTTCACTATATCTACAACTAGGAAGTTCCCCACATCCACAACTAGGAAGTTCACCATAAAATCTGTTCTGAATATGCCCATTAATTTTTCTGGTTTAACCTGCAAAAATAAAATCCTCCATTGCTAAGTTAAACTAATCACGTCGTGAACAAAATATGACTTTTATACATATATATTAGGCTAGAATATCTTTCGACCACTATTTTAAACCTTTTCTAGTTTCGTACCCAAAACAATACCCAAAAATAAATTGAATACCGTGAAAAATCTTCATTTTTGAGATAAAAATGTGAATATAAAATAAACCGGTAAAACACGATAATGAGCAATAAACCTGAGGAACACGCTCAGATTTCACTCCACCGCCTCCCTGCGATTCAATGGATCTGGCCTATGTTCAAACCGTCCACAAGACGTGCTCCTCACTGGCAGTCATTCGGGCGCTTGCTAGTCAAAGAAGTGAGACGCCGGATGACCACTCCGAGTTTGGAAGCTTCTCAATATTGAATATTTCTCTCTAAATGACTTTAATTATAATTGTTTTAATGATAAGTACGCTTTTGTGATGTTTTAGTTACACAATGTACACCACTAAACAATGGAGTTTTCACGTACTTTTATTTCGATATTGGAGACCTCTCTGCTTTGGATTTTTATGTGTATTGTTATCCATTTCAGCTAATTCAGGTAAGGCAGACTAGATCTGATGTCACTTTATTGTACAGGAAGACATATATATATTATGCCTTAAATGTGCTATTTGTAGAAAATACAATATCTTCGATAGCAGCTCTTGTAATCAATCTGTTAATGCTTACTTGAAACCCTATATATTCAATATGGCATAATATATTCCCTAATTCTAGGAAGTCATAGGTTCGTTAAACATGGTGTACATTTCGTTCATCTTCTGTTATTTAGGATAAAAGTAGTGTATGAAATAAAATACTGGGCAAGAAATGTAATAAATACCATAAAATTGTGATAAAAAACAGTAGTTTATAGACAGTGTAAGACACCACTAAACATAAAAACTAAACGCCGGTATAACGTATTAATAAAATAAAAAGGTTGTATGCCATAGCCTACAACTTTTAGTTCTCTGCAATAGTACGCGGCTAAATGCGCAAATATAGACATTATTAGGATATTTCAAAATATTAGCAATGTTTTGCAGTGCGACTAATATTTTGAAAAATAAAATCTTTCATATTTTCTAGATAAATTGGATTTTAAAATAATAACTGTTTCCCCAGTAAGCCTACTTTCCGTGAAAACATGTAGCTTAATGTAACATTTTTAAGCTTCACATAAAACATTAAAGTATTATTAAACACTAGTGAGCTATATTCGTTAAAAGTTATATATATACACACACATGTATTTAAAGGTAAATGAGGAAAATTGTTTTTATTGATCTTCAATCACAATTTCTTACAATTACACCAGATGACGCTAGTGCTGCAAATAAATGTGACATTTGATGGTTTAACTGTTTCTTCTTCTAGCTTCTTTTGCTTGTTTCTTTATTTTTTAAGTTCAAAGCTACACAATGGGCTGTATGTGCTGTACCCACCACGGGTATCGAAACCCGATTATTAGCTATAACAGCATTTGACTTTCCACTGAGCCATTGGGGGAAACCTTCTTCTTGTAGTAAATGATTAACAAAACGTTCTTTATCTGTCATTACATATAAAAACAATGATAATTACGATCAACTAATAAGAATATAATGGAAAGATTGACATTAATTGTCCATCTGTGACAAAATCATGTTTAACTTCTTGCTGTTAGTAATGTTGTTCAACTTGAAAATCTTATCACTGTTATATATTATTGCCACTGATAGCTAACTTGATGTAATGATTCCCTTGTTCGTATATATTTTGTTTTCTTCGTTCAATATAGTGAAAAAAAAAGTTATTTCTAAGAAAATGATAAGCATTTGTTTAATATTTTGTGCTCCATTATTCCGTTCCTCAATAAAATAAAAATCAAATAAAGCAATGGAATTCAACGAATTAATGGCACTCAAGAGTCACAGTTAAAAAAAATGACGTTTTACTACAATAGATTCACGTTCGTTTTGTTTTTAGTTCAGAAATAAAGAAAAACAATCCTTCACGATAATAACGCAGCTGCAAACTTAAAAAATATCAGTACATAATACAACAAATATTACAGTCGTTTCTTGAAGTATTCAAAGTACACAATAAGTATTAATTCGTGCATCTCTGATGAATAAATATGCTATGAAATACAGAATACACAAAAGTATACGGCTGGAGTCTTTCTGATGGAAATTCGTGCTGAAGTAGCCATTGGCTGTTCTACATAGATGATATTCTATATTGTCTTAAGGATTCAGAAGATAGGGATGGATGTTTTACCCAAAATCTGTTGTAGTATCTTTGTATTACGTTCAATATATCAGTTAAAATAAATGTTTGTCACAATATAAACATAGAAAATAAATTACAGTAAGTCATAATAATAGATACGAACACCTTGTTTCTATTTTAATATATCATTTGTAAATTTGTAACACTACTTTGATATGGAAAAGTGTTGATTGAATGCGTAAATAAAACACGTTTTTCGAAAGAAAAATTGTTCTGAAACCTGATAATCAATCTAAATTTACCCATAAGTTCAGCATTCTTGTTAGAATTTAGAACTTCTTTTGTATTAAGGATAGAACCACTATCACTATACTTGACCACACAAACGCCATTTAGAAATATCAGTGGACTATATATATATATAGTACTGTCTGTTCTATTTCCCTGTAACTACTTCTCAGGGTATGGATGGGTCTTCACCAAATTTGGTGTGGAGGTGTATTGGGTCCATGGAGAGATACATAGAAATTTTCAGTTTTGCGGTTTTTAATGGACGTTTTTTACCACGACTTCGCTCTCTGTTGATGGATTTTCACCAAGTTTGGACATATACGGATATACATGCAAATTGCAGTTTCACATTTTGTGTTTTGCGGTTTTTATGGGCGTTTTTGCGTTTTATTTACAATTATATATAAGGGAAGCAACTTTTCATGTCCAAAGATAACCTTTCACTAATCATGGATTTACATAACTTCCGTCCAGGGGACGGGTACTTCAGCTAGCATATATATTAGAAATATAATATCAGTGCTCTGTTATCAGTGGACTATGTATATATATATATATATATATATGTATATCAGTGTACGGAAGGGGGCAACATGTTAACTCCAAAAATAGTGATTTGTCACGCTTAGGTCACATTTTAACTGAGTATGTTAAAACAATCAGGTTCAAACATTTCTTCATAATATCAAAGGCAATAAATGTTACAAATTGAATAAGTTATGCTGATACACAAGGTGACACCTGATCCAAAAAAAAATGATTGTTTTCGTTAAGATATTTCTGGAACTTTAAAATGTAATTTGTAAATAGCTTTGCTACCGAGTGGTTTTGGGTTTTATTAAATTCAATCTCTTAGCTGAATGTGGTAATTAGACAAGGAAAAGCTTTTGTTTTTATTATCAATCTGCTGTGCCATATAAATGTCTATTAATATGTTTTAGCGTTTAGCCCTGTAGCAGAAACTGGGTGTAAGTAAAGAGTATGTATATTATACATTACTTACCAGTTGTTGCCGTTATCCTCACATGGGGAATCAGTATTGAACATCTAAGCATGCATGAAAGGCTGAAGAACCAAAATGAATGTGTTTTGGCGCAAAGACCTGGTAAGCCGATTATCAGTAAGTATGTTGTTAAGCGAAGCAAACAACCACACATGTAAAGTATTACACATCTGCACTATTAAGTTTACATTTTAAGTTATAGACTTATACATATCGAACGAAAATTAAAATATTTTTTTAGTATTTTCCCCCAAATTTTAAGTAGTTATTGACATTTATTTATATACATACCTAAAATAATGCATTGTTTGAAGAAAACATTTCAACATTATTGCACCTTTTGAGCACTTTCTTTTCCAAGTTTCCTCTAGAAAAAAAAGTGTTATTAAACAACATCAAAAATCTAGTAATTTCTGAGTAGTTTCATGAAAAGAAAAACCAACGGCTATCTTCACTCAACACCAAGGGCTATCTGTACCTAATTTGGAACTGATAGATCAGAAAGAAGGTAGCTAGTCAATAGTAGCCACTGCTAAGTCTTGGGCTTCTCCGTTTTGGCTGAGTAGTAAGATTTAAAATCACGTCAAGCCCCAATTAGAGGAGAACATTTTTGCGCCAACGGGTCGCGAACCATTAACCTTCGGATTGAGAGTTCGGAATATAAGCATATTTTATATATATATACATATATATAAGCGAATGTTTACTTCTATACATTCAGTGTGTTCATCTAAGGTTGTTGAAAGCGTTGTTGTTGTTGTTTTAGCCACTGAGTAATCTTTCCGTTTTTGTATTACATTATTTGGAATTGTTCTCTTTCTTTATGTTTCTATGCGTAATTTGAGGATGAAAACTGGAACCCGGAGGATAATTCAATTTTCAGATTTATGGTGGACAGAATTTAACCATCGTGGATTGCTATTGGATTACGCATGTATCGAGAAAATTATCTGTTCTGCGACCATGGTTTTCCAACGAGTGTACCTGCATTCTAAAATATTATGCTGCGTACCATACTTTCTTATCCATCTAGTCAGTGAATGTGTATACAAATAAGATGATGCTATGGTCTATTAGATCGTTCCGAACTAAGACTCTTCCGTTTCTTCTTGATTTCTGCGAGATGTGCTTAAAGGTTATTAGATTAGTAAGAAAAAATTAGCTCAACTGGAAACTCTGCAAGACTAGCAATAATATAAAACAAAGTTACTTCAATCTGAAAGACTGACTGTGCTCTTTCATTTCTAGTTTTTAATCGCTGTATCTCCCTCCTCACTCTTAGACGTATTAATCCAGAATGGTGTTTACTTTCAGAATACATTTTAAACATATTAGGGACAAAAACATAAAACTTCATTAAAGTGGTATGTCTGGGAACAATATTTTACTGTGGTAAAATTAGTTGTATTTGTAACATGTGCAACAATAATTCTCAAAGTTGTTACTCAGAACGTATAATGTCTAGATTTTTAAATTTAGGACACAATAATGATAGGATAGTACTAAAAACAACTTTCAAAGAATTAGTCAACAGTAGCTCATTAAGAATCTGTAACTTAGATTTTCTGATCTTAATCTAACTCGATTTAAAGACAACAGCTGATAGGTTTATTTAGTATTAACTGAAAAATATATTTGTGATGGCTAGAAGGTTTTTTTCAAATCCGTCGAAAATTAGTTTTTTTTTAAACGGGAATGAGAAGAACTGGCTATAAAACATCTGGATAGAGTAATTGGTTTTCCAGATTTAGCATATTCATTTCTCACGTTCTTTGCCAATGACGTTTGATATTTTGGACTGAAACTACTTTCTGCTTAACAGAAAATAACAAAAATTACACATATACAACATGTTGATAAAAGAGTTAGCAAAAAAAAGATCAATATAAAGTGTAATAAACTTAAAATAAGACCCAATACTCTTCAGAAGAAGAATAGCCTACTATTCGAAAGCGCTCGAGTTTTGGGTCTTATTTTAAGTTTATTACATATATAACATGGTAATTTTAAAATTTGTTCTCATGTTTTTTGTAATTTGTTTAGTTGTT